GAGAGCCATGCCTTAATGATGCTGAGAAAAGGAAGGGGATTTTCGTTTTGGTATGGCTCAAGGTTAACAAATCGTGACATAAATTATTATTAACTGAAAACGTTTCAATTGATTTCCATTCGTACGCATGCTCCTGAAGTTTCACAAGCTTCAGCGACTATAGAAGGTTATTTGCTCCTGATGTTGCAAAATAGCAGTTTGTGGTTGGGACTCGGTCATGTGGACTTCACATTTAAGTACAAGGATGTAGAATGTGGTCTTTTGTTGTTGTTTGTTGTTGTTGTATTGTTTGTTTATTTGTTTTTGGTATAGCGCAAGGTTTACATATTGAGAGAAATTATTAAACCAGAATTGTTCAATTTTCACCAGGAAGGACACCCATTCATGCGCATGCTCCAGCAGCGTCACAATCTTCACCGACTACTCAAGGTTATTTTTTCGTTATTATACTGTATGCATGTTGTATTTTTGTTTTATTATTACGTGCATTTCTTGCATTTCGGCGTTGAAGTGAATTGTTTTCTTTGGAAAGTGTATGGTCCCAGTTCAAGAAGAGTTACCTACACAGCTTTGATTATCATTTCTACAGCAAAACCAAAGCCCATAGACCTAATGTTCTTGGTTGATAGYTCTAGTGGTGTGCCTTTCAAAAGGATGAAGAGCTTCTCCAAATCACTCTTGAGATATTTCCAGATCTCTCCTAAAGGTACTCACGTAGCGTACGCAGTGTACGCCTATGGAGGAGCACTGCGCTTCTCATTTCCGTCAGCCGGCCAACTGCGATACGGCTACAGCATTGCAACGGTCAATCAGAACATAGACACAGTCCGTACTATGACTGGAGATCAGAGAAACATGCGTGTGGGTCTTCTGATGTCACAAATTGGATTTATGGACCCAAGATATGGTGCACAAACTGACGCAAGAAAGGTAGGAATATTTCTATCAAATATATAGTAATCGATCTAGGATTTAGGCTCTGATTAATGTTTTGATTGATTCCGTTGTAGATCTTGGTCATTCTTTCCGGAGGAGATTTGGATCCACGATATGCAGCACAAAGAGGACAATTAGTGAACCAGTTGAGGAATGGAAATGTGGGGATATACGCTGTACGGGTAGGACGTCGTCGTGACCCATCACAATTGAATGGAGTGGTTAGCAGC